CATAGTGATCCACCTGTTTACAGCCTCCCAAGATCTGGGATTACAGGCACCACCACACGCAGTCTCAATTGCTTTCTCCACATGCCCCAGAGGCAGGGCCAGCACAGCAGGCCTGGGGATAGAACCCCTGGCCCCCGCACCTGCTTGCAGGCGCTTTAATCTGCTGAGCTGTTTGGCCAGCCCTTTTTCTGATAAATATTGACAGAGAATCTACATGTAATTCATTCATTCTGTTCCAATTTTCAGTAGGAGAATTGTTAGCATTCTCTAATTATAACATAATATAAACATAACATAGAAAACCCTGATGCAGATTTCAAATCAATCCTAGGTACAAATATCAAAATCAAAAATATATGTAACTTTACCTAAACTGTGCCACTCTCAGGTTTTTCTTGAAATTATTACTGCCAAGATTTTGTTTGAATATTTGTACCAGATATAGTATTAGTGCCTTTAAACTTGTGAGTATGTAATGAATATACAATGAATCATGAATATTGTTCTTATTTTGAATGAAATTTTAAAATGATTGTCAATTTTTTGTTTCATTGTAGTTTTGTATAAATAAAACCTGCAGAGAAGCTCAATTAGTGGGATCTAATTGTAATGCCACTGAAAAATGTAAAGGAAATGGGGTAAGTCATTTTTACTTCAGCATTCTTAAATTGGACATATTGTTCTGGGTAACCCAACATAAACATTTACTGTATTTGAGAGGGCTCAGGATCTTCATTACTTAAGCTAGTCTTGCTTATGTCTAGCTGATTAATAGAAAAAATGATGTGAGCCAATTTAACATTATTAAATGGATTGCATTAGATTTGTAATGAATTTATTGTAAACACAAATTATGAATTAGTACCATAATATGTTTAAAAGTGAAACACTTATTCTTCTTAAAAACAAATAAGTACATTTTACTTATGCTGTGAATATGATTTGTTCTCCCTTATATATTAATGAAAATGTATAGCTGTAAAATATTTCACAGATACTTTAAAAACATGTTAATGCATTTAAAGATTTTTATAGAAATTTCCAAATGAAAATGCAACTTCATGCAAAAAAGTTTTATTTTTTCTCAATGTCTTATCTATTTTAATCTTTTAAAATAAATTTTAGCTACTTTTACATTTTGTTTCTTCTCCTAAATGTATTTGGTTGTTACAGGCTCTCACTAGGCATCTCAGACTCATCATGACCCTCCTGTTTTCAGCCTCTCCAGTGCTGGGGTTACAGGCATGCGCCACTAGCCCTGGACTCTGGCTGGCTCAGCCCGCTGTTGGGGTGGGACTGGCATGGCACGTGGTGGCAGGGATCAAACCATGGTTCCTGTGCTTGCCTACGCTTGCCTAAGCAGATGCATTAGTCTGCAATCTGAGGAGCTATCTTGCTGGCCCTACATTTTATTTTTTAAAATTACGATTTTGAAGCTTTTGCCCTATTATTTTCCTAAAACAAAATCATTGTGTGACATAATCAATATGTGAATGAACTCAAATTCACTGAAATTTATTAGTATTCAATTTCACACTTTTAAAAGTTGATCAGAATCAGAAGGCATAAAATGTCACTATATTGTTGTTAACCTGCTATAGGCTGTTAACAAGGACAATAGACATCTTTAATGTTTCAATTTTTAATTTCTGTACTTTCAACTGTTGCCTTCATCTTTTGTTTTCTTTTGTTAAATTAAAAAATTGATTGTAATATTTTTCATAGATTGTAAAAAACAACTTACACTACATAAATTTGTGACATTTTATTTGGTTATAATTTTATTTCCTTAATAGATTACTATTTATTCAATAATTATTTTACTACAACTTTTTGGATATTTTTATTTTGATGAAATATATAGCATGAAATATGACATTCATTAAGAAAATATGAAATTATCTTCATTTTGTTTATATTTTCTGCAAATATATTTCAAAATAAAATATTTAACACAGATTGGACTCATAACAATCCTCCTGTTTTCAGTGTCCCAAGTAGCTAGGATTACAGGCATGTGCCACCAAGGCCAGTCTCAGTCCTTGTCTCAGTGCACCCCAGGGGCCAGGCCAGCATGACATGCTGGGGCTTGAACTCGGTCCCTGCATCTGCCTAAGCAGGTGCTTTATTACACTGAGCTACCTGGTCAGCCCTTATTTTCTTTTTCTTTTTCTTTTTTTTTAGTTTAAAGAGAAAGAAACAATAAAAACGATACAGAATTTCAAAACAAAAGAATCAAATATAAACAATGGTTATTATATTTCATATTGTTATCTTCAAAGTAGTTTCTCAACACAAAATATAGGCATGCAAAGTTGATCAAATATTATAATCACAAACTGTTCCCTTTCATTAGAAATTAGTACTATAATTATATTAGCTATCACATATAGTTTTTTTCTCCTTTTCATTTTTCCCCATCTCAATTGCTGTTTCCTTTTGAGCAAGTTCTTTTCTTTTCACAGTATCTATTGTGTATTTTGGATCTTATTTACTCTTTCAGTTTCTTACACCAGGGAGAAAATATGATGTTTATGCATGAGAGTCTGATTTATTTCACTTATGAGTTTGGTCCCTAGTTGCACCTATTTACTTATAAAAGACTTGAGTTGGCAATTCTTTATAGCTGAGTACTACTCTATATATAAAAAGACCACATCTTTTTTTATCCATTCCTTGATTGATGGGCAATGTTGTTTCCAAGATTTAGCTATGACAAATTGTGCTTCTATAAATGGGTGTGCTACTATAAATTAGCATATATTATGCTAATTTTAAAAAAATTCAGATTTGTCTTCTTTGTTGAAGTCTGTGGTGTCCAACTAGATTCCAGAGTAGAGTATAGAGATTCAGGATATTTTAACATAAACCTCACTTAATTTTTATACCCTAGGTAGTCTCTTGTGTGTGTGTGTGCGTGTGTGTGTGTGTGTGTATATATATACACACACTATATATAAATATATATATTACATGTTTCTGTTACTAGAACGACAAGAATAGAATATTTGCAATCATTTGATGAGCTGGCTACACAAGTTACAATTATCAATTCCATTTATTTTGAGGAAATAATTTTAGAGGGTTAATTTTCATTCACATTTTATATTTTCAAATTGTGAGTTAGTTGTATGATTTAACCTGATACTTCTGAGAAAAACTACAAAACTGGTTAAAACAGGAAAAAGTAAATGAGATATGAATCCCACAAATTCAGTTAACTACGTTAGTTGCTCACTTTGACAGGATATGATTTTACAGTGAATAAATATAAAAATATTTCTCTTATCAAATTCTGAT